TGAGTGGGATAGGAGGGTTGGATCGTGTCCCTCAGTTGAATGGGATAGGAGGGTTGGACCATATAGCTCAGTTGAGTGGGATAGGAGGGTTGGACTGTGTCCCTCAGTTGAATGGGATAGGAGGGTTGGACCATACAGCTCAGTTGAATGGGATAGGAGGGTTGGACCATATAGCTCAGTTGAATGGCATAGGAGGGTTGGACCATACAGCTCAGTTGAATGGGATAGGAGGGTTGGATCATGTCCCTCAGTTGAACGGGATAGGAGGGTTGGACCATATAGCTCAGTTGAGTGGGATAGGAGGGCTGGATGGGAGCGATGGGAAGAAGAGTTCAGAGGGTGCTAAGTGCTGGGAAAACATGAAGATGGGGTTGGGACAATAGCCAACTAGACATGTAGTCACAGGTTACCCCGGAGACGAGTGAGCTCCGGAGGGATCCCGGATGCCCCCACTCCTCCTGTTGACGGTCCTCTTGGCTTTGCCCATCCCCCATTCCTGTCCCTCCCTCGTCTCCTGTCCCAGCACCCTGGCCAGACCTGGTACTTGTTGGTAGAGTTGAAAGGGATCTCCGCCACCTTGGGGTTCCTTTCCCGCATCTTCCTCACGGAACCGCAGGACAGCTCGATGCACTTGAGCAGAGCGGACTCGGAGGCATCGCCGGCCGTGTCCCGCTGCCCGAAAAGAATGCCGAGTCACCGTTGGCAGACAGCACAGCAGTCTGGACAGGACCCGGACACGACCCGAGGGCCCTCAACCCCCCGAAGCAGCCACGGGGTGTGACAGAAGATGCTGGGCGGGCTTTGGAGAAACCCCAGAGACATAGCTGTGCTGTTTGGTCACTACCTTAGACACAGAGATGTTTTCCTGCCCGGCCTTGAAGACAGCGCGATTGCAGAGGCCAGCAATCCGAGACAGGGCTGTCCAAGTGGGGGAGCGCTTGTCGAAAGTGGCCCCTGTCAGGAAGCGAGGGCGAATCAGAGCCTTAACCTCACCTCCACCCACCCTGCCATGCCACTGCCCTTAACCCTGATGCTCAGCTGTAGTCTTTCCCCGCCGGAGTTCTAGTCAAATACTGACTTCTTCACCACACAATATGCTCACAAGGAGCCTCGGTGGTTCAATGCTCAGTGGCTTGAATCCGCCAGCCGCCCCACAACACGTGGCAATCTTCTGTGCAGATGGACAGCCTTGGAAACCCTCAGAGGGGAAGCCTGTCTCTCCCACAGGCTGCTGTGAGGCTGTCGGCATTGACTCCAGAGCAGGGGGGTTACGTTTGGGAGAGAGTCATGCTCTTCATTCGATGTGTCTGACGTGGAACCCTCTCCAGCCCCCTGCACTCCCCACTGGGGCACCCACTCACCAGACTGGTCTTCGGTGGTGTCGGCCTCATGGATCTGGTTGTCAAACCACATGTGGGCAACGGTCATGCGGTTCTGGGTGAGGGTGCCCGTCTTATCTGAGCAGATGGTGGAGGTGGAGCCCAGTGTCTCCACCGCCTCAAGGTTCTTTACCAGGCAGTTCTTCCGCGCCATGCGCTTGGCTGTCAGGGTCAGACACACCTAGCAAAAGGAGGGCAAGAAAGGGCTAACCCTGGTACTAAGTGATCCGTGGCTTTACTCATACCTGTAGACTCAGGTTCTCCTCCCTCTCTCTTCCTCTACCATCCCTGGGCGGGACCTAGTTGCCAATGGTGACCGTGATCAATTGAAGACATGTTGAACCATGAGATCTTTCCAGCAAAGAGTTGAAGACGTTTGACTAGCACTTAAGAGGAGCGACGGGTTGCTGAGTCTGGGACTGGAGGGGTGTTCCACCCAGCAGGGGATGGGGCTCACTCTAGGGGCCCACAGAGAAGAGCAGGGGGCAGGGGTCTGAACATCTGTGTAGGGGAGTCACCGCAGGGGACAGAGGAGAAAAGAACGGGCATGGTGACAGGTCACAGACACCAGCAAAGAAGAGGATTCGAGGAGGGGAGACTACCATTTCCATTTCAGCTGCAGAGTGAAGGCTGGGAGCTGGGCAAGGTCACTGGATGTGCTCCTAAGTCATGGTGACCTTGGAGAGGGGCTCTCTGGGATGCATGCACTCCACTGCAGGGCTGTGAGCTCGTGCGCGGGCAGACAGGGCCCCAGTGAAGGCTAGAGGCTCCTGGAGAGAAACTGAGGCCAAGGCAAGATTTCTCAGAGACTCCAATGGTGGCCCATGGGAAACCACCTGTGAGCACAGCATCTCGGGTGGGATTTTTGGGGTGAGAGGAGAACTGTGCTAAGAAGCCACGGTGTCTTGGCGGCTTCTGAGGACAGGTGAGTTAGTTAATTGTGTCAGCCTGGCCGATAATCACATGTGGGGCTAATTGAAAGGCGGAGGGATAAATGGGTGGTGAGCCTCGCCTTTCGAGTTCTCTGGTCTCTTGCTTTGTGATGGTCGCACCAGGGTGCAGCTGCCTTAGCAGTTCCCTGCTTCAGCTGGCAAGATTGACTTCCTGCAAGACATCCCCAAGAAGAAGCTACATGGACCTATCCCAATGCAGCCCTGGGTGCTGAAGCAGCTGTGTGGAGACCCCTGCTAGTGCTGAGATGCTTGTTCGTTCACTGACTCAGCTTTCCTCCCGCAGTTGGCATCATTGCCTCTCTTTTGTGAGGTGGAGGACTTTGTGGACTGGTGTTGGGCTCATGGGTTCATGTTGGACTTGTGGGCTTGGGCAGCATTGGGTTGGGATGTTTTCGTGCTGCACCTTTTCTTTACATAAAACTCTCTCTTATCCGTGAGTCGCTGTGGATTTGTTTCTCCAAAGTACCCAGGCTCATACACCAGGGTTGCGAGGCCCTCCCCGTCAACGCGTCAGCTTGTCCCACTCACAGTGACGGTGGCCAGCAGCCCCTCGGGCACGTTGGCCACGATGATGCCGATGAGGAAGATGACGGCTTCCAGCCAGCTGTAGCCCAGGATGAGCGAGAGCACGAAGAAGGAGACGCCCAGGAACACGGCCACCCCGGTGATCAGCTGGATGAAGTGCTCGATCTCCATAGCTATCGGAGTCCGCCCGACCTCCAAGCCCGAGGCCAGAGTGGCTATGCGGCCCATCACCGTCCGGTCGCCTGTGGCAATCACGATGCCCCTGGCCGTGCCTGCAACACAGGAGGGGGCACCTGAGGCTCCCAGGGGTTGAGTTCCCGGCCTACTTTCCAAGCAGGACCAACGACTCCCGAGTGTAGACACTCAAGGACTCAGACCCCTCAGGTCACCGTTAGAGGACGGCGCCTCACTCCCCAGGCTCACTCTCCCTGCATGGAATGCCAGCTCCCGGTTCAACCCAACAGCATGTTCGTTTTCTCTTATTCTTGGGCCTGAGGAGAAGCCTTGCAACTGATCCTGACATTCCAATTGAGGTGGTTCGGGAAAAACAGAGTCGCCAGTCTTAGGCTTGGTATGATCGCTCATGAGGGATTTTCTACACTCAGACCCATGTGCCTGGGTCCTAGAGCCACTCCACTGATGGCCGTTCCCTTCACTGCCTTCCTCTTCCAAGGTCAATTTCAGAGAAAGCCAGGGGCATCTTCTACCAGGTGGGTGGGAGGAATGTGGAGTCCATTTCAGAATCTCAACATGACCCCTGCAGCGGGAGGATACTCCTGTTCACTCCCTGCCAGCCCGCCCGTTCCGACTGCTGGCAGCTCTGCAGGACAGAGCATAACTGTCCCTGCGGTTTCCGAGGCTGCAAATCTTTACGGGAACAGCAGGCTTGTCTTTGTCAAGTGGAGCAGCCTAACCCACTGTGCCGCCAGCCCGCCGTGCAGGAGGAGACCGAGAATCACAGGATATGGAAAAGCAAGGTGTAAAGGGAAGGGAAAGGTGTGCACACGGGAAAGCAAATCTCTTTCCCCTGAGGTCTCTTTCCCCCTGGGACTCCCTCCTCCTTCTCCGAGTTCACCCTGACTCGCCTCACCGGCACAACCACAGCAGCCACAGGGGCGACTGTCGTCGGACCCCGGACAGTAGCTACAGCAGCTCTTTGCTCATCTCTCAAACCCTGGGCAGAACTGGGGTCAGTCAGGAGGCCATGCACACCGGGGCACTTTCTTCTGATGCAACACAAGCCTAGATGCGGGCTAAAGGATGGTCCAAGTGCCCATCTGCTCACCCCCGCCCCTTCGGGCATCTGTGAGGAGTGGGGACAAGGGGGAGTGTTAGCCCGATGTCTGTAGGCTTCAAATCTGCCCAGCCCTTGGCTGGCCAGAGGTGGAAAAGGAGAGCCCTTTTCCACACAGCCATTCTGGCCCCAGCCAGTGGAGGCATTGTTTCTGTGGGTGGCAGCGGCGCAGAGACTGTTTCTATAATATTCAGGGACCTTTCCTCCCCCGATTCCCTCATCTCTAGCGCAGATGTTACCGAAGAAGTACCACCTCAGTCCCCACCCCTAACTGGGGATTTTGGACCCCAAGCTCCCCATGATGCTAGGACGAGGTGCTCGCTAGCAGCCTAGCCCCTCACCTTCCACACAGTTGGTAGAGAAGAAACAGATATTGCGGGTCTCCAGGGGGTTCTCGTGGGTGAACTCGGGGGAGCGGGTCTGGGGCTCTGACTCGCCTGTGAGGGATGAGTTATCCACCTGAGGAGGAAAGTGGGGGGGGGGTCATCATCAGACAGACAGACATGCTCGTGCACATGCAGCTGTCTCCTGGCCCCAATCCCACTTTCAATCTTCCTGACATGAGGGACAAAGTGACGCTTGCCCTCATCACATCGCTCCAGCATGACTCAGCCGTGTCCACTGCTTTGGTTTGAAATGCTGGCTCTCGCTGACTTATGTGTCTGTGGGCCAGGCCCTCCACCAGCCGAGCGGGCCACCATCGACTCATCTGCAAAGCGGGGAGCGCAGCCAGATTCGCTCCACGGCACGGCCACAGGGGAGGCCACTCGAGCTGCAGTCTGTGAGACCGGCACCCGGCGGGGTGGCCCCATGCCACAACCTGCCTGATGGAGGGGCTCTTACAGAGCTCAATGAAGCAGCACCAGACAGAGCCCATCCGACCCTCGTGAGTCCTCCGCAGATGACTGCTGTCACGTGGATGTCCGAGACACATTCCGGACCCGGCAAGTGGGCAACGTGTAGAGACAGAGGCAAGGCGGCAGCAGCCTATGCTGAGACGAAGTCCAGCTGGGGTGAGGAGGAGATGTCTACCTCTGGGCCTGGGCCTGTCAACCGACAAGCCTCTGACGTGGCCCCTCTCGGCACGATACAGCCAGCTTCTCGGGCCAGACCACTAGCTCTGCACCCATAGGCCTCCTCACCTTACAGCCGTGCGAGGAGATGATCCGGAGGTCAGCAGGGACGCGGTCGCCACCCTTCACCTCCACCAGGTCTCCAACCACCACCTCCTCTGCGTTGATCTGCATCTTCTCTCCCTCCCGCACCACGAGGGCTTGCTGTGGGGAGGCCACGGAGACCCCAGTCAGCACCCTCCACCCCTGCCTCCCTCTCCCGCTTGGCTTCCCTCTCATCTCCAGTCCCAGCCCAGGGAGGGGAGCCACTCCTCTCTGCCCCCTTCGCAGTGAAACAAGGTCCTGGTTTGGAGTGAAGGAGCGTTTTCCCCACTGCAGGGCTGCACCACAGAGCACAGGGACTGAGAGGACAAGGGCCGACAGCCCCCAGGCACTGCTGTCTACCTGAGGCACCATGTTTTTGAAGGAATCCATGATCTTGGAGCTCTTGGCCTCCTGGTAGTAGGAGAAGCAGCCGGTGACGATGACCACGGCTGCCAGCACCACACCCAGATAGAGCTGGCGAGGAGAACGAGGTTGAGGGGCCTGTCCCTCTCCCAACCCCACAGGGCAACTTCCACTGGGGATGAACGGACATTCATCGCATCCCGGGTGGGAGCCCGGACCTCCAAGGTGTTTGACTATGGTGGAGGGGTGGGGAGGGTAGAGAAAAGCCCTTCCTTGCACCTTCCTCCATCTTTCAACCCCGAGCCTCCCAAGCACAGAGGGAGGGACGTGCTGGGGAATTCCAGGACCAGGGCTTCTCGAGGGGCTGCAGACTAAAGGATGCAGACAAGCCCACCGAAAGGGGAGGGGAGCAGGCAGGGACTGTCTCATTCATGAACGATTATGTGTGTGTGCTTTATAGAGCTGTATAGAGCCTCGCCCCTTTCAGCCTAAAGTTTAGGGGCTGTGGCAAGGAGACTCTGCCTCCTGGAGCCCCCCCCCTCACCCCATACACTGTGCTGGAGGCTGAGGGCTGGGGGCCGGGGCCATAGGCTGGTGTCCGGGTCAGGCGTGGGGCTCACGTTGTCATTGGATGGCTCATCCTCCATGGCAGCCTGGATGCCATAGGCCAGGAAGCAGAGGATGGCCCCGATCCACAGCAGGATGGAGAAGCCCCCAAAAAGCTGGCGACAGAACTTGACCCACTCGGGGGTGGTGGGAGGGGGGGTGAGAGCGTTGGGTCCATCCCGAGCCAGGATGTCCTGTGCCCGCTGGTTGGTGAGGCCCTGAGGGAGGCAAGGAGAGGCGTGTGAGTGATTCCTAGAACCGACCCAGCCCTCCCCACTGCCCATCAGCTCCTTGGCAGGGACCTGGTAGGAAGGAGGAGGGGACTTTCGGGAGAAGCCAGTTGTGAAGGCTCTGGGAGATTGAGGGCCGAGACTGTGGCTGTAGCTCTGATGACCACTGGACTGAAGCATAGTTAGGCTAGGGACACAGCAACCCGTCTCAAGGCAGCCTGGATGGGATTCCTCTCCCATCACCCTTCCTTCATGCCCCCCTCTCACCAAGGATTTAGGCGGGTCCTACATGATCAGTCCTCAGTGTCCCGTGGTTTTAGCCATTGCCTATCACCCCTGCAGAAAGCCTCACCCAGCCCCGGACTGGTTCCAGTGTTCCTCTCTGCAGCCCAGTTTGGCCTTGGCGGGCTTCAGAGCTGCGTTTACCGTGTGCCACTGGGATTCTGCTGATGGGGATTCTGCTGCTGCATTGCTTGAAGCTCCTTGAAGACAAGGCCCATTCTTATTTACCTCTGTGTCCATTCCTTTATTTAACAAGTGCGTGTTGAGCATCTACTACCTGCGAGCCACTGTTGGGGGGGGGGGCGGTGTCTAGACATGGATCAGACCAACAGAGTCTCTGCCCTCGTGGGCATATGTTCTAGGGTGGTGACAGACCACCAGCAAATGTACAGCCCTGGTAGTGTGGTACATTTTAATGCTGGATAAGAAAAAGTTTTTAATGCTGGATAATAAAAAGTTTTAATCAAATAACGTAAAGGGTGAAAACTCTGATACCAAACTCACTGCCATTAAGTCAGTGCCAGCTCACAGGACAGGGCAGAACTGCCCTGTGAGTTTCTGAGACTCTAACTCACGGGTCCTCAAACTTTTTAAACAGGGGGCCAGTTCACTGTCCCTCAGACCCATTGGGAGGGCCAGACTATAGTTTAAAAAAAAGCTACGAACAAATTCCTATGCACACTGCACATGTCTTATTTTGAAGTAAAAAAAACAAACGTGGCAAAAACACCCAGCAGGCTGGATAAATGTCCTCAGCGGGCCGCATGTGGCCCGTGGGCTGTAGGTTGAGGACCCCTGCTAACTCTTCCTGGGCGTAGAAAGCCCGTGTGTCTCCTGTGCAGCAGTGGGTGGTTTTGAACTGCTGACCTCGTAGCTAGCAGGTCAATGCCTAACCAGAGCTGGCTAGGGTCAGGGGTTAAGGACATGGATGTTGGCAAGGACAGTCAAGTGAAAGGCTGGTGGCAGGAGGTTAAAACCCATTCAGGCAGTTGTTCAGCCACCTCCTGCGCACGGTGACCCCACAGTATGCGAGGAGAGCGTGCTCTGCAGGGCTTTCAGTGGCTGACTTTTCCAAGGTGGAGCACTAGGCTGTCTTCTGAGGCACCTCTGAGTGGACTGGAACTTCCAACCCTCCGTTTAGCAGCTGAGTGCATGAACTGTCCTCATTGCCCAGGTCTGCACTCACTACATTTTTTTTTTTTTACTGATCATAGTTTTCTTTTAGTCATTTTATTGGGGGCTCGTACAACTCTTATCACAATCCATACATCCATCCATTGTGTCAAGCACATTTGTACATTTGTTGCCACCATCATTCTCAAAATATTGCTTTCTACTTGAGCTCTTGGTATCAGCTCCTCATTTTCCCCTCCCTCCCCGCCCCCCTCTCATGAACCCTTGATAATTTATAAATTATTATTATTTTGTCATGTCTTACACTGCCCGACGTCTCCTTTCACCCACTTTTCTGTTGTTCATCCCCCAGGGAGGAGGTTATATTTAGACCCCTCTAATTGGTTCCCCCTTTCTACCCCACCATCCCTCCACCCTCCCTGGTATCGCCACTCTCACCACTGGTCCTGAGGGGGTCATCCGTCCTGGATTCCCTGTGTTTCCAGTTCCTGTCTGCACCAGTGTACATCCTCATTTTTGTTGAACTAGTTTTACCCCCAAAAGGATGGGCTTTGGAATCTGGGCAAGTGACTTTCCTCCTGTATCTTCTTGCCTTAAGAAATGGATCTAAAATCCATGGTCTCCCAGGGTTTGTAAGGATGGGAGAAATGTACGGGCCAGAACTGTCACAGCGCAGTGCCGGGTGCACAGCAGCGGTCCGGTGAATTGCTGTCGTGGTTGTTATGGGCTACCTCACAATGTCGTGTATGGTAGCTCCACTGTCGTTCCACGGTAATGTGTCACTCGGTGCGTCACGTAGTGTGTGTCACTGTCGGGAGGGTCTTTGTGGCCTGGGCTCTCGGGAGACGAGCTATGGGCTAGAAACAAGGAATCTGCTGCTGACAAGCCATGCAATCTTGGGCAGGTCACTGGTCTCTGGGCCTCAGTTTTCTCATCCCTTAAGCGGGTTGAGTACAGTGTAAGGACCCCATCACCACCACTCGGACACTGCAAGGCTTTCTTGCCTTTCTGGTGCCCTATGGCTGGCACGCCTCCCCCACCTTAAAATCCCTCCACTCACCTTGGACAGATCCACTTGGTACTTGCGGCCCAGCTCGTCCAGGGATAGCTTGTGGTCATCCTGGGGGTGGGAAGGAGAGTTACTTTGGGGAAAGAGTCGTGTGTGTGTGTGTGTGTGTGTGTGTGTGTGTGTGTGTGTGTGAGAGAGAGAGAGAGAGAGAGAGAGAGAGAGAGGATGAGGACCCAGGAGGGTGGACACAGACTTTCTCTGGCGGTGGACTGCGGGCAGCCCTCCTGCCTGGGGGCCCATCCCGAGCCTCTGTGTGGCTCACCATGGTCACCTCCTTCTTCAGCTCATCCAGTTCCTTCTCTTTCTGCTTTTTCTTGCCGCCCCCATTTTCCGCAGTCGTGGCAGCGGGCGAGTACTCTCGGCCGGCCTGTGGGAGGAAGGGAGCCCAGAGTCAGGGAGGGCCAAGGTAGTGTAGCCGGAGCTGCTGCTGGGCAGCCGGGGAGCCCAGCACTGGGAGCGAGGGTCCCACAAAAGCAGTGAGGGTCCCATGCTCTCAGCCTGCCCACTATGCACCATCCACATTCGAACTTCATCGTTTTCTGGAGGGAAGGAAGGAAAATTGAGGGGTGCAGTCCTTAGCAGCGAGGCTCTTAGCTGTTTAGTGCTTGGACTCTGCTAAGATGTGTGTGTGTGTGTGTGTGAGTGTGTGTGTTGTGAAAGGTCTCTGATGCTGAATACAGGGAGAAGCACATCACAGCTTTGGAAACAGCATCTCAGGGGATCTAGAAAAACCCTGGCAAGAAGGGAGCAGAGAGAGCACATGGAGTATCTGCCCCCGACCGGTGACTTCTTTCCTCCCAGAGGGATGGAGGTAGGAATCTGGGAGCAAGAGTTTTGCGGGGAGCCACAGGGCAGGGCAGGGCAGGGCACTGTCTGGGGAGGGGGGGGGCAGGGTCTGGAGGAGGAGTGGCGGGAGTGGACTTGGCAGGGCCAGTGGTGGGTGAGAAGTCAGTAGCTGCAAGGGAAGAGGCTAGTGACAGGCTTCCTGGCCCCAGGGCACAGGCAAGTAAGAAGGGCTCTGGGTCTCAACCATCGGATGTGCTGGCAGACCCTGGCTCTGAGATTAAATCTAGAATGGATGTCTTGACCCGGCTTGGCAGGGTTTTCTGGTGAGGGCAGATGGGGGTGAGGGGACAGAGGAGGAGGGCCTCCTGTCTCTCACGATGGCAGATGCAGCATTTCTCTGAGACCTCGACTCCTCCCAGGTGGCGTGCAGGCAGACGGCCCATGGGCGCCCTTCCGTGGCTGGAAGACCACACTCCTCTGTCTGGGGTGGTTCTGCTCAGGCGCTCTCAGACACGTGCGCCTGTGGACTTAGTTTCTAGGTCTTCTCTCCATGAGTGTTTTAACTGCTGCCTCGGGACCTGTGGCTGTTGTGTCTACTTTGACTCATGGCCACCCACGTGTTACAGAGCAGAACCGCTCCATGGTCCACCGCTCCGTGGTCCATGGCATTTTCTGGGTGGCGTGGGCTTTAGCTTTCCAGGCCTTTCTTCTGAAGCACAGTGGGGCACTTTGGGTGGCAGTTGAGCCTAACTGTTTGCAGCCTCACGAGGCCTCCATTTCTCCCCTCCTCTTCAGGGTCTGCAGTCCGGGCATGCTGGAATGTCTGCAGGTGAGGTTGGGAGATTTTTCTCTTTCAACAGAAGGTTGGCTTGGGGTGATGGGGTGGGAGGGATGCCTGGGGTGGCCTGATGGTTATTCCAGAAAGATGTCCTCTCCGTCTGCTTTCTCCTTTGTCCTCCCTCCTCCCCACGTCCTTCTGGCTATGGGGCTCTTGTCCAGAGGGGCTGCTCCATTTCTGCCCAGTGCCCCTGTTTCTCAGACCCAAAGGGCAACGCTGGGCTTGCAGGACTAATCTTTTTTATACTGTGTTGTGTTCCACACTCATCTCCCGTAAATGGTGGGCAAGGTCTAGGGAGCCCAGGTGGCATAGTGGTTACACGTTGGCCGAAACCACCAGCTGCTCTGAGAGTAAGAGATGAGGCTCTCTACTCCTACTGCCTGAGGACCTCAGGGTTTCTACCATACCTGTCCTAGAGGGTCACTATGAGTCAGTCTGGACTCGATGGTACTGAGTTTCAGGTCAGGTCTACTACTGAAATGTTTCGCCCTTTGGGCAGGAGAAGGCATGTTTTATCCACCAAAGGGCCAGGGAAGTCTCAGGAGCATGGCGATGGTCCTGATCAGAAGAGATTAGAAGGGAACTCTTGGAGAGGCAGAAGAAGCCTGCCTGGAGAACTTGGGGGCAAGGGTGGGTGCGTGGTGACACCGCTGCCCTTCTCCAGTCCAATCACCTCGCAGGATGTTGGGTTTGCGAGGCAGCGGAGCTCAGGACTCAGTTCAGTAAGAGGCCAGTCAACCTTGCATGGGTGTCTCTCTGCAGCGTCTGGATGGTGCCCCAGTGGCAGGCTGCTAACTCAGGAAGTGGACGATTTCTACTGCCGCAAGGTCCACAGTTTCAGAATCCACTTGATGACAGTGTGTGTGTGTATGCGTGTGTGTGTGTGTCTGTGTGTATATGTGAGGGTGTGTGTGTGTCTGTGTGTGTGTGTGTGAGGGTGGGGTGGGGCGGGGTGTTGGGGCATCTATGATCTAAGGATGCTGTGGCCTCCTGAAGACCACTGACCCTCTCCCGCAGCCTACTGGGGCATGGGCAAGGGCTCCTGAAGAGTCATATCCAGGTGACTGAAAAGGGCCGTTCCATTGAATGGATTTGAAGTGTGTTGGATCCACAAACTCTCTTCTTGGGGGGCCAGGCTGAGAAGAGGATGGAAAGCAGGGGGGGGAGGAGGCAAGAAATCAGGCTGGATAAGCTCCCCCAGCCCTCCCTCAGGGCTTCAGGGACAGGAGCAGGGCCTGGGCTGGCCGAGAGGATGGGCTATACCTGGGGGGGGGTGGGGTGGGGTGCGGAGGGGGCTGTACACGTAGACATGGCATGAAGTCTTTGAAAGTTGTCAGCCACCTATTTTTCAAGCACTTGTGTGTTCGGTGTGCGTGCTGGATGGCGGCTGGGCGCAGCAGCTCCTCCTTTGCTGAGCTCCCACCCTGTTGTCCCCAGGGCTCGAGCTTGGGACATACTGCCCCTGTCCCGGCCCCTCCTCCTGTCCTGGCAAAGGGCCTCAGGCTTTGCAGCCAGGAACCTGCAGAGATTTGGGGCCAGTGGCTGCCCAGGCAAGAAAGAAAGAAAGAAAGAAAGAAAGAAAGAGGAAGCAAGGACCACCCCCCCACCAACACTCCTCCCTCCCCTGACCCAGCAGCCCCCGTTTCGGGTCTTGAATGCTGGAGGAGAACAGAGAGTTCTTTCGGAGAAAGCCAGAGGCTGGGACAGAGTGGGGGCAGCTGGAGGGTGGCCAGCCCTCCCCCACCATAGGCTCTGTGGCAGCTGGAGAGACTGGGCTCCTTCCCACCAGAGTCATCCCTCCCCCCACTCCCACAGTGCCCTTCACGGCCGCGGGGTGGTGGGCTGACAGTTAGGCCTCGCTCTGGAGTGAAGCTGGTGCGGGGGAGAAGAGGTGAATGTGGCTTGCTCCCCAGCCTCAGGGGTCTCCTGGTGGGTTGGGCTCCCAACTCAAAACACTAAGGGGCTCCCCTTCAGTGAGCCTCTCCGTGCAAAACCTAGCCACTGGTTCATCAGGAACTTCTGGGGGGCATAAAGGGACAGCCGGGGCATGCATGCCGAGGCAGCTAGGGCCCCGGAGGTGTCCAGCTAAGTCACTCCCCAAGCAGCAGACCCTCTTGGGCGGAGTCAGCTTGGTTCTCAGGCTGGTCAGCAGAGCCTACCTCCCAGCTTCTCTGGCTGGTTGATGTGGGGGACAGGAGGCCTTGCCAGCCTTGGTGGCATCCTCCAAGGTGCCCCACCTCAGCGGGGGCTCCTTTCCCCCCAGGGGACCAAGGAGCACCCAGGTGCAGAAGGTTCCAAGGCAGCCTACTTTCTCACCATGGTGACCCCTTCCTCCTTGACCTCCACACCTGACAGCCAGCTGCAGAGCCCTCGCAGCTCCAAGAAGGCCCAGCCGGCACCCAGGCTCACGCCCGCCCGAAGCCTGGGCAAGCCCTTCTTGTATACATTCAGATTCACCTGCTGAGGCTCCCCATGGACATCTATGCAGGGTCTAGCCTAAGGAGTGCACGGGGCAGTGCGCGCGCGCACACACACACACACACACACACACACACACACACGCACACACACACAGACAAAAACACACTCTCTCTCTATTTATAGCTCCTACCCAAGCTCAGGAACCCTGGTGTCCAGGCTCGGAGTTTTCCCAGCTGTTGAACGTAGTGCAATCACACGTCCTTGCCTGACCCTCCGCAGTCCCAGAGACACTCCAAAGCGCCCCATGGGCACCCTCTTTCCAAATAGTCCCCCTGCTCAGTGCGTCCTTTCCCTCTGTGCCCTCTCTGCCAACACCCCGCAACAGGAAAGGGATGTGAAGGGATGGGGTTGCTCAGCTCCATATGGAAATTTCATTTTCAAGAATGCCCTGCCCACTCCCTCCCTCCCCCAACTGAATAGTTGCTAATCTTTCCTTTGGCCTAGTCAGGGCTGCAGCAGAATGCCAGGGGCAGGGGGTGGGAGTGGGGAGAGCGGGCAAGGGCTCTCACCAGCCTCTGGGAAAGTCCTCAAAGCCTGTGGCCCAGAGCCCAAGGACAATGCGACCAGGGACATCCGGAGGGGCATGGGAGCACAGCCCTCTCCCCTCGCCTGCCTCCTTCCCAGCTGTCCCTGGCACTCAAGGTCCCTGGAGCAACTCCCTGGAGCGACTCCCGTGCGGGATGCCCCATTGACCGCACCCCCCAGCCTTACACTGGACCCCCATCCTCTATAGCTGGGTCTCACGGATGAGTGGACACTTTCAGGGGACAGAGAAGGTGGGGATGGCTGACAGCAAGCACCAAGCAAGTGTTCAGCTGGGAGGCTAGGCGCAGGCCTGGGAGGAGGGACAGAGATGCTGGGATGGGGGCAGGCTGAGTTGGAGTGGGGGTGAATGTGGTGTCTGCAGGCTAAGGTGGGGCAGGAGATGAGGAGTAACATGGGGGCAGGTGGGCGCCCTGGCCCCCGTGTGCACTAGTCTTTTAAGAAAGCACACCCAACTTCCAGCTCTCCCACGGCCAGGTCTCCCCTGCCACAGCCAGCCCCACCTCAGTTTTCTCTCCAGTAGGACCTTGCTCTGGAGAGCCCTGTGACACCCCTCGGAGTGGCCTCTGCTCCGTGAGCTACTTACCCCACGACCCATCTTGGGGCAGAGTGGCTGATGGGACCAGGGTTGGAGAAGTCACCACCAGGAGAGGCTCCCAAGCCTCCAGCAGCCCAGCCAGTGTGGATGGCGGGAGACCCCAGCAGACAGGCAGAGACAGCCCAAGCAACAGGGTAGCTTTAAATAGGTCCCTCTCCCCTCTCCCCCGCCTCTCCCTTCTCGGGAAGAAACATTTGTTGAAACAGGATCCCTGAGGACTCCTCCCTCCCCGCCCCTTTAGCAACTGGCCCAAAGACGGTCCGTTTGTCCTGCTTGTATGCCCCCCCTCGCCCCCACCCACCCGGCTCCTGGCAACCTCTCTGGCCGGTGGCGGTCACTCCAGAGGGAAGGGAACGAAGGGGGGTCGGGTGGGCAGAGGGCGGGCAATTGTGCCCTGCGATGAAACAGGCAGAGGGGCAGCACTACCAGTGGGAAATAGCAGGGTGAGAGAAGCCACTGGCCCGGCCCTCCTCGTATTTCCAGATGGGGGACCTGAGGTCCCCAGAGACAAAATACTTGGAGCTCCACAGACAGAACGAGACAGAACTAGGGCTCCCAAGTCTGCACCCAACCTCCCAGAGGAAGGACCAGGCTGCTTCCTTACTGGGGTGGGGGGCGGGGCAGTTTGCTGGGACTCCTTGGCGACAAAACTAGTGTTTGAATTCAGGACCTGCTCCTGCCTGGGAGGTACCAGAGAGGGGTGTTAAGGGAGCGGGAGCGAGGGGTGGGTCAAGAGGAGCACTGTCTGAGCCTACACACACACACACACACCTCAGCGTTCCCCCCACCCCCCACCCACACCAATTTGGGAATCAGCTGGGGGCGGGTCAGGCTGAGGACAGAGGGGACCCAGGGGAGCAGGAAGGTGGTCCTGGACCCGCCCAGCGGGTATCCGTGGTGATATTTATCCTGGGTTCACTGAGTGGACGCAGCACCCCCTTTTGTCACTGTTGGGGAGGTCTGGGGTTGGTGGGTGGTGTAGGAGGAGGTCCAAGAGGTCCTACAGGAACCCTGGTGGCACAGTGGACTACTCATTGAGCTGCTAACAGCCAGGTCAGCGGTTTGAATCCACCAGTGACTCCAAGGGAGAAAGACGAGGCTGTCTGTGCTCATAAAGAAAAGTCTCAGAAACCCAAAGGGGCGGTTTGACTCTCCTGCAGGGCAGCTGCAAGTCAGAATCGATTCCATGGCACGGTGTGCTTTTGTTGTCCTCCTGGTTTATCCAGCGCTTCAAAAGGAGCCTTGGTGGCACAGTGGGTTAAGCGCTGCTCTGCTGATCTACAGGTCAGTGGTTCGAACCGACCAGCCGCTCCTCAGGAGAACAATGAGGTACATCTGCTCCCGTGAATCTTTTCAGCCCCAGAAACCCTATAGGGGCCGTTCCACTCTGGTCTACAGTGGTCGCTATGCATTGGAACGGACCCGAGGGTAGGACGTTTGGCCTGTGGCTGGCACAGAGCTTCTGACAACGAACACCAGCCGTGTGGATGCGAAAGGAGGGCAATGCCCGCTTCTCCCAACGGGCCAGGAGAACCCATCGGCAGCATGCCGGGTCCAGGCTAGACAGAAGCCTGGGAAAAATGGCTTTCCAAACGTGCCTCTCCTGTGGAACGGAGAGCCAGCTCAGCCCTGAGCTGCCAGGGGTGTCTTGAGGCTCGTGCTGGAGACAGGAGTAGAGAAGAGGACCCTGGGCAGCAGCAGCTGGACTAGGGAGGTTGCTACTGATCATCTGGCAAAAGAGGCAGAGAGGAGACCTCGGGGCAGAGAGCGAGGGAAAAGAGCCTGCCTGGGCCTTTCCTTGGAGCGGCCCGAGGACCGGCCTGTGGGGGGACCTTGCTTCTCCGGGCACAGAGGTGGAGGGAAGGGAGGCCAGTGAGTGGGGGCAGGTGTGCCTGAGAACCCTGAGCCCCAAGGAAGGCGGGGAGGGAATCAGGGAGGGGCCTCTGAGGCAGGGTCTCTCTCTGGCCCCAGAGGGAACTCCCTGCAGAGAGATTATCCACCTCTCTTCCAGAGCCAAGGGCTCAAGTTTGAATTCTCCAAACAACTGGGGCCTCTAGTTGAGATTTTTCCATTACAGGGACCTGGCAGGTCATGTCCCATCCGGCTTCCCCTCCTCCTGGGTTAACTGGCAAAACACGGGTGGGTGGGATGGGCAGACCGGACTCCCCATGCGCACTGGACTGGGACACAGTGGGAGGAACCGATGGTGGGAAACAGGTAGGTGTCTGCTGAAGCACTGGGTCAAGGGCAGGGCGAGGGCTGGGCGCGGGAGTTGTAGCAAGACAGCTTGTGGCTAGACCTCGGGAGAGGCCGCCGAGGGAAGAGGGACCCAAAGCTGCCTCCGCTGGGTGACTGGGTTGAGAAGACAGCGTGTTCCTCTGTCTCCCAGTTAGACTCCTGGGGTATCTTCTGCCCAGCCGTCCCTGCGACAGGAAGTGCGGAAGAAGGGAAAACGTCAGCTCCCAACCTGAAGACCAGCAGATGCAGGATCGTCCCCTAGTCTCGCCTCTGCCGGGCCTCCAGTCCTTCCTTCTGAGACTCTAGCTCTGGTCCCTGTCACTAGGCTCAATACCGGAGACGCCTGGGCCCTCCCGCTGCCCATACAGCCCGACTGGGGCTCCCTGCCACAGCCCGAGGGCCCTGCCTCTCCCACTTGGGGACCTGGACAGATGAAGGGGTGAACAGGACCTATTCTTCCCCCCAGGATCCCCCTACCTGCTGGGGGATTGTTTGGAGTCTGGCCCTTTCTCCTGCACTGAGAACCTCAGACTCCAGGGCACCCGTGAGCGTAGGCACATGTTCCTTCAATCCGGGTGCCTGGGTTGGCTGCTGCCTCCCTGGAACAGCCAGACTTCCCAGTGGTACCAGTTAGACCCAAGGTCATGGCAGTAAGAGGAGCGAAGAGGAGAGTAAGAAAGACTTGGCAGTAGGACGTGGGAAGGCCAGACAGACATGGGATCGACAAAGGCCAGGGTGGGGTAGTCCTCAATCAAATGGTTGGTCCAGAAAGATGTGGGCAGCAGGGGCGTGCATGTCCATGTGTGAGAGAGAAACCGAGAGGCCGAGAGAGGAGACCTCCTGTCCCTCCTCTGACCGCCATCGAGTTGGTTCTGACTCACGGTGACCCTGTAGGGCAGGGACGAGCTGCCCCCTGTGGGTTTCTGCGACTGCTTATCGGAGTAGAAAGCTTGTCGTTCTCCTTCCTATGGGGGCGGGTGGTTTCCAACTGCTGACCTTGGAGTTAGCAGCCCAATGTGTAATCACTGCTCCAGCAGGGCTCCTGAGAGAAGGGACAGGGAGGTGCAGAGTTGCATGTGTGGGTTTGTGTGTGCGAGTTAATTAATGACCGAGGGGGACAAGACTGTGAGCATCCTGCGTGTGGGACGAGACAGGGTGAAGATGCCAAATGGAGGGTACAAAGGGGGAGCGCCTCCAAAGGAGAGGTCAGCATGCATTTCAATGCGGGGCCCATCAATCAAAGCCAGTTCACGGTACATCACTCTCAGCGTGCATTAGTTCACAGGTGTGTGTTCGTGTGTATTTGTACATGTGTATGTGTATGTGCATGCGTCTGCACACGTGATGGGCCCGCGGGGGAGCTGGTGTGGAGCCGGGAGTGGGTGTACGTGAGCGTCCATGGGAGAACGGGTATGTGCACCAGAGGGGAGGAGGGAGGGAGGTCGCTGTGCTGCAGACGGGCTTTCAAGGTCTCCAAGAAACAGTTGTGTTTCCTAAGTGACTGGTCTCCTGGGGCTTCCAGCCCAGACTTCAAGGTTGTTTCAAGATCATGAAAGAGGGAGGGAGAGTAGGAAGGGAGGGAGAGTAGGAGGGGAGGAAGAGCTGGGAAGCTCTTTCACACACACCCCATGGCCCCTCCTCCCGCCTCCTCTCCCCACTTCTTGCCCCAGTCCTGACTTGGGCCTGATTCACCCTCCTGCTCTCCAGCTGCCCTGCCCGCCTGGGCAGCCTCTCCTGCTCACCCTCTTCCGTTCACTCCACTCTCTGGTGGCTGCCAGACTGCCTGAGCCTCCCCAGGAACTTCTAGGGTGTGGGGGTAGAGTTTGCCTCCCCAGGGGAAGCTGTCTTGGTGTGATAGGATAGGAGGGAGCCTGCAGTGGCCCCAAGGATTGTCCCAGAAGGTGCTTCTGCATCCACCCTCTCCTTCCCTCCCCACACTTCCTTTCAGACGCCTGTGACTTCCACACCAAGCCACTCGCTGCCGTGAGTCCCTTCCTGCTCACAGCGACCCTATAGCACAGGGGAGAGCTGCCCCCGTGGGGCTCCAAGACTGTAACTCTTTACTGGAGTAGAACCCTCATCTTCCCCTGTGGATGTGGCTGGTAGTTTTGAACTGCTGCCGCCAGGGCTCCTTGGCTGTACCTTAGAAGGAGAAAGGTTGGGCTTGGAGCTGCAGAGTTTGGCTGGCCAGATTCCCATGGCTGCCTCAGTTTCCCCACTCGGCCAGCAGGGCAGACGCTGTTGGACTTCCTCTGCCATGCCAGTCTGCTCCGGTTTGCTTCCCCGACATCTCTCGTCCTCTTTCTCTCCCTGGCTGCGTCATTTCAAAATCTTTGACCCAGATAATTTGGTGATCGGTTTTTATTGTTAAAGCCACAAAATAAAGATGTAGGAGATGGAAAGGGGGGCAGGGTGGGGGGGAACAAAGCACCCAGAATGAGTTTCCTCCGTTTCTCTGCCTCAGCTTCCCCACCACCACTCCGTTTCTGGCTCACCTTGCTCCTTCTCCCTGGGTTTGGGGAGCTCTTTGCTTCTGAGCCTTCCAGAGATGCCCAGAGGAAGCCCTATGAAGAAAACGGGAGGGGCCCGGGTGTGTGGGTGGGGGGTGCTACAGGAGCCTGGCACCCTGCTTCCTGAGCACAATGGCTAGGGCAGTTCTTTGGGAAAGCAGGGGTTGTCTCACTTGTGAAGGGGCTTAATGGGCCTTGCTAAGCCTACAAGCCAGGTCACCTGAGGTTGGTTCTAATTGGGCCACTGACTAGCTGGGTGCTGTGGACCACAAGACCACTCTGGTGTGGCTGGGAGCAGAATGGTGCTCCCTCCCCCGCGCTGATGGTCATGACCACCCAAGTCCACGCTCCTGGTCTCCTCTGCCCCTGGCTTTA